TGTGGAAAAAAAACTTGTATCTGTATACACAGAGTGATCAACTCTAAATCAGCCAATAACACTCAGGAAAGACCTCTTGGAGTCTGAGGAAGAGCTCCTCTGAAAATATTAGCTGACTAGCCAGCAGTTGTCAAAAGGCAAGTTAAGAATCATTTGGGGAAAATCTAGGGTCTATCTAGGTCACACATATAAATATACGGTATATCTATGTTTTCAGTTTTGCATGAAGTTCTGGTAACCCTTTCTCAAGAAGAGCTCCAGGAAGGGACACAAATAACAATCAGAGCTATGGCACAGTTCCCATCTGGAGGCTATCTAGAGTATGACTTTTCCATTTGAAAGAGAGAGATGATTGAAGCAGGATATATGAGAAAGGTCCTCAATGGTTTTTAAACAGTAAATGTTGTTTATTGTTGTACAAGAACTATGATTCGAGAAGGAATAAAAAAAAATCATGGAGGATAGTTTCATCAGCTATGAGATATGATAGTCTGGATGTGACCTCTATCTTAGAAAGTCCCAAAGCAAAGATTGCCAGACTCTGGGAGAGCACATGAAAGGAAGAGCCATTCCACACTCATCTGCTTTCACTTGCTTTACTGTAAGTGACTGTCTCAGTGTCTCGGTCAGAGGTAGGGTACTAACCTAGATGGACCCTTGCTCTGAACCGGCATGACAACAATTCTATAAATGTCAATTCAGAGAGCAGAACAAAAGAGCTGCCACCCTTGTACAAAGACAGTACAACAATTTGTGGGTGATTTAGTAGAAACTCATAATGGATACCAGTAAATACAGTAAGAATGAGCTTCATTGAAAGGGGGTATTTTTCCCCCTGAAGACTCACTCTGCATTCCGCTACCACTTGGTAGTATACAGACCCACCAGAGTAAAAATAAAAACTGTAAGCTTTCTTCAGAGAGCCTCACATGGTCCATTCTTTTTAGACCCAAGGACCTTCATACAGAACATCCCGGTGTCAACAGAGGAAATGGATTATTTAAAAATCACTGAAGCCTATTTTCAGTAATTTAAGATCATAGTGTAGGGCTGTTACTTGTATTAATTTCTGGTTATTCACTGGAAACTCATGGACTTCTGATGACTCGATGTAAATGACTATTCAGCAATTTCAAAAACAATTTTACAGTCTGGTCTAGGTTTTATAGACACCTGACAGTGATTTATATTATTGAAAACTTTGGGGTGGCCAAAGCCAAGATTTTCATTCATTCCATTAGAAGTTTCAGTATTAGATTCAAAAGAGATCTCAATCCCCTTTTGATGCTTAGCGTTACTATGCATGTATAACACAGCAGAAAAGAGCCGTGTAAGAGGACATTCCTAATCATCAAGGTCTGAAAAGAGCAACCAAGAGCTTCAAGTCAACTTCCTCTCAATGGTTACTCCTGCTTACAGCGAGAGCAGACTGGGCTCTATCAGTCCACAGAGCTCCAACTCATGAATAGCATGAAAGCCCTCCCAGGTCACTGAATTCATTCAAACTTTTTCACTAACTTGAAAAGACAATTTTGCCCATTTCTATTGTTTAGTGTGCCCCGCTCGACTCTCAGCAGGCATAACTTCGTGACATTCAGATCATGCATTAGGAGGATCCGGGGTCTAAAAGTCCTTTTCTGCTTCAGATAGTTTGCTCTATTTCAAATTCTTCAAGATTTTATTTAAAAATGGACACAACCCCCAAAAGATTTTGCTTTTCTTTCCCACAGTCAAAGCCCTCTTCTGCTATTCTCCTTCTATTTGCTCTGTCCTAAAGTAACATTTTTCTGAATTGAGCTCAACAGAATTTGTAATATCAATAAAATGACTGAAATACGCTCTCTCACTATTTGCTATCCAAAAGAACCTCTATCACACCACAATTCCATTGTGAGCTGACTATGAAGGGCTAAGAACAATTTAACAAACAGGAAATTTCCATACAACTTAAGCATGAAGGAAGTTCAGTTCCAGGTCGAAAACCAGACTCCATAAATCTAAACCCTCCAATCCAAGAAACATCACTAGGGTTTGGACACATTTTGGGCTGTAATCTTCAGTGGTAAAATTGGCACAATTTTTACTGATTCTTCAGTCCTTCGAATTCCCCTGACCATAAACATTGGGTTCATGTTCTGCTCTCATTCACGCAATGGCATTAACAGCATTGCAGACCTAGGCACACACCCAGCACTGCACATTCAAGCACACAGTGGAACTCAATTTCCAGCTAACATAGGTATTAGATTCTCAGCTAACGTAGGTCAGTATCCATTAAATGCAATTTTAATAACAGAAATGCTTTTATCAGAAGTTCTTGAAAATGCTTTTATTGGAAGTACTTCTTAGCTTAAGAAATGAGAAAGTTGTTACTATCTTGATTAAGGAAACTAAGGAAACCAAATCACATTCACGGTCATTCAGAAGTTGACCTGTGACATTTAAATGTGTTTTTTGATTAAAAGTGTATGCGCGCACACACAAAGAAAAGCATGGTTTCACTCCTCGCTACTCTGTTAATTTGGCTCCGTTATACCATGTAGCTTTGAATGGAAATAAAGTTATGGAGCCTAGTTACCAAAAATATGTGCTGCTCCATTTTATCCAATAGCTCAACAGCTAGGGCTGTGACAGGGTTCAGATTTCATCTCTTCTTGCAGGGATTTTAGCCTACATCTTCCAAAGGACACCCTAGCACTAGGATGTTCCTCCACATCCTTTCCTACCAGTGCTGGTGCTAAAAGTATAAGGGGCACTATAACACACTAGACTAAAGGTCCAACTAGCTCTGTGTCCTGTCTCTGGCAGTAGCCAAATCAGATGTTTAGGGTAGAACATAAGAACAGGAAAAGCATATAATGATGCTTCCCACAAATACTCTACAACAGCTTGTGACTTCCAGAATGCCTGAGTCAAAGGCAGAATCTGTGTATTTACTGAACTCCATGGCAGCTTTTTTCCATTATTATTTCCAGTAGCTGCCAACACTCAGCAAAATCCCATAACAAGGAGTCCCACAACTTAATTAATTATATGTTATGTGAAGATATAGTTCACTTTGGACAAGTAAACCTTCAGACTGACACTAGGACTCAGCTATGCCACTTCCCAGCTGAAGGCTCACGCACCTAATGCACAGTGGTATGCACATAGGAAGTATTCCTCATTGCATCACATATAATGGAGCAATCCCAAATTATCCAACAGCAAGGTGGTTAAGAAGCTGTTTTGGAAATACAGTCCCAAATACATACTTAATCATTTAGGAAAGTGAAATAACATCAGTAGGAGAGAGCGAGAGCACTATAAAGAATAGTTGGAGAGTGCACTTTACAGTTCTTTTGGACAAAGGAGGTAACCCAGTCTACCTACTGGGTTCTGACTTAGTAATCAATTAGATAAAAGAAGGATTCCTCCTCCAATCTTTAAAAATAGCAAATTATTTCACAGAATCACAGAACAGTTCAGATTGGAAGGCACCTCTGGAGATCATCTAGTCCAATTCTCTGCTCAAGGCAGGCTGCCCAGGATCATGTCCAGTTGGGGTTTGAATATCTCCAAGGATGGAGACTCCACTGCCTCCCTGGGAAATCTGGTCCAGTGTTGATCACTTACAGTAATAAAGTTCTTCCCTACATTTAAATGGAATTTTCTGTATCTCAATTTGTGTCCCTTTCCTCATGTCCTTTCACTGGGCACCATTGAGAAGAGGCTGGTTCCATCTTCTTTGTTGTCATCGCTCCCTCCACCCCATAGTCACAGAGTCACAGTGTGTGACAGCCATAGAGTGGCTGTTAAAATTGAATCTCATTCCAGCTACAGCTAGGAATTTTTATCCATAGATTTCAGTATTAGCTCTTGTGCAAATTTTTTTTTCCCCCTCAAGTCATGAAAATGAGAGCAGGAAACCACCTTTTTAAAAAATGGTCTAGGTGAAGTATTTCTTTGTTTACCCATTTCTTCCAGATCTCCTTTTGATTTTTATGTTGTCAGAGTTGCCAGGTAGATTATTTACTTATGAAGACGTTACAGAGGGAGCACTTAAATAAAACTTTTCAACTTTTCCTCACATGTGCTGTATGCACAAAGAAGGCTTTTCATTACAGTGTTTGGTGAACAAGTGATGCCAACAGAAGACGGGAACAGGAAGCCTCAAACTCATCCATTACTATCTAAACAGGTACCCAAGGAATTCATTTTCTAGGATGACCTAAAAAGGGGAGGTGTGTTGTATCCTGTGAACTGCTCACCTAACCACTTACAAGTAGCTTATCAGTACAAAACATCAGCATTCAAAGTAAATAAAGACACCTCTCATGCAGAAATACACTTAGAGTTTAATTTAAAAACCATAGTCAAAGCCCATTGACTTCAGGCTGAGCACACATTTACGTGCTCTGCTGAACACAGACAGTTTGCTTTACCTGA